TGGGAGCAGTAACAAAGGTGTTGCGTTTATATTTTTGTTGAGTGTAGATCCATTTGTCGTGGTATTTATGCCCATGATGAATGTAAGTAAACTTCTAAGCACAACTGTATATGTTTTATTATGAAGCATCAGGAATCTCCAGCGCCAAGCAGAAGTGAAATGATGTTTTGGTCACTGTTACAACTACTACAACATGACATGATTTCACTTCCTTCAACAGCAGGATTTTTTTTAAATGACAGGTTAACCTTTTTTTTTTTTTAAAAAAGGTCACTTACTATTAGAGGAAATATGGCATTGATGTAACTAATTATAAGGCAACAGCAACGCTGTTATGCTATTATCAAAAATTTTATATTAAGAATGCTATAGCTAGCTAGCCCAAGGTGAGCATACATCAGGTGTCAGACAGATATGTTACCATTTGATTTTACTCGAACAGTTTAACCTTCCACATTTTTGAAATGCTCCAAAAATTAAAAGGTTGTTTCATTACCTTTTCATCTTTGCTGGTTAACACAGACTAGAGAAAAAACTGATCAAATTCACTTTGCTTCTCTATGGCAATCGAGTAGCAATTTTTAAGGGGGATCGTTTCCATGCATGCTAATCACTGTATAAATAAGCAATGAGTCATCTAGGTACCTTAAATATAAAAATGTTTTATTATTGTCTCTCTTTTATGACAGCTACTTTCAAGCACCTGTAGTCCAAAACCTAAGCTAAAGAGGCGTAAACGTCAGCTGCATGTCTCTGCCCCGGAGAGTCACTGCACTACAAACACCTGCAGTTCCACAAATTCTGGTCGGTCCCCCAAAACCTTTACCACAGAAATATCCAGGTTTACGCCCTGATACAAATAACAGCTTCAGTCTCTAAAGCTATTTTTCTTCAAAACTGTGCTTTATTTTAACTCACTGCTTTTCGTGTTATTAGGGGCGGGGTCTGTTTGAGGTTTCACTGTTTTTAATTTAAAACTCTGAAATGCCTCTTAGCTGTGTTTGTGGTGTTGGAAGCTGTCGGAATACTCTCGAGGGAATTATCAGATAAATAATATTCCTTGTTGTGTGAATCACTGTGCTAACAGCCTGACCAAGAAGTCCTGTTTCTTTCACTGAGTGTAATCTAGTAGTATTTTAATTTAATTTATATGTTAGCACTAATTAGCGGGCATCTTTATCTGTGCATGTTGTGTAACAACATGTGTGACTTTATAGGATACTCACAAAACACCTGCCTCATCTAAGACTCTCCTGACTGTCTTTTGACCACCAGATGTGTACAAAAATGTGGCTACTTCTCTGAAGAAATACTGAAAGGCATCAATTTAAGTTAATTTCACTAGAATAGCTTTAATTTCCTTCACTCTCAGAAGTGGTTTGGTTATTTGTTTCAATATGTTGCTCATTACAGAGTAATCTTGAGGGATTACAGGGCAAAGCATGTGGCCATGAGTCAGAAAGATGTTTTTTTCCTGTTGACGGCGACCATTCGGATGTTTTTTAGTTTATTTTGCCAAGTAACATTCACATCCTACAGAAACACAATACAGAGGAATGCACATAGAAGCAGGAATGCAGCGTGCCAGGCACACATACTAACTGTTACCTTCACAGCTCTTCTTGTCAGGGGCTAGTTCATAACCTGGGTCACAGGCACACTTGAAGCTGCCGAGAGTGTTTACACACCTCTGTTCACATCCACCATTGTCTGGCTTGGCACACTCATCATCCTCTGAAAACACACATACACGTCAGAGTGCATAACAAATGCTTTGTGAAAACACAATCAACTGACGCACAGCTTCTCTTTTTCTCATAGTCACACACACACACACACACACACACACACACACACACACACACACACACCTTTGAAAAAGTTAGCAGCAAAGCCGGCCTTGTTTACAGTCCCATCTGAGACAAACTTCATCCACAGCGTGTGTGAGGTAGAGCGCACATCCTCGGGTTTGTCGTAGCCACAGAATCGCCCAATCAGAGGGCTTGTTTCGAGCGGGCCATCCCGAACTTCCAGGTAATCGTAAGCGCAGCTGTCGTGCCTCTCGATCTGCACCAGAGGTATGCACAACCAAACAGTGAGATACGCGAAACATCGAAACAGCTCGTGCTTAATCGTCTCCCTGCATCGTAGCTCATTTTTCCCTCTTAATCTAAGCTAAACTGAAAACACGACCTTTGACCTTACCCATGTGGACTGAGATTGAGTCGTTTAGCAACCTGACATTTCAACAGCATTCAAACTACAAAACTAATCCTCCGCTGCCTGCTGTGTGTCCCTGCACACTCACACAGACACACACATGCATGCACCACTACATTTATTAACTTCTTAGCAGCTCTACAAGCGTGAAATTTGACCCAGACATTCCTAAGCACAAGCACGGGATACACATAAATGCATGCACAGAAAGGCACACACACACACAAAAGGAGTGAGTCACCTCGAAGGCCTGGAAGCTGAGCCCAACGTTGTATCCCTCAGATACAGCGATCCTCCACACACACTCTTTGGAGGGTCTGTAGTCATCAGGATAATTGGGAGACTGAATCTGCCCCGAGTCCTTGGTGATTTCCCCTCCACAGATCGCTGCACCGGGGAAGACGAGAGGAGAGAGAAAGGTTAGGTGTGCATCAGCTGCACTGACTAAAGACACCTGAAACACAGTCTGTGTACACTATGAATAATGAAAGCCCCGAGATAACTCACAGAGCACATAAGGTCATCAAATTCACAGGCTGGAATTATTATTCACAGTAATTATTTAAGGTCTCTGGATTCGAGTGTACGAATGCTTTTATTTGTTAGTTTGTTTGAATGAAGGCGTTTACCTTCGTAAATGGCAGCGAAGCCTTTTCCTACCCAGTTGCTGCTGCTGCGGAACTCAATCCACATCCTGCTATCAGTTGAAATCAAGACGTCGGGAACTTTATCTCCGCAAAACCTGCCTGTGAAACACACACGCAAAAGCAAACCCTTTAAGTCGTGTCATTCAGTGACTGCTGGGGCAATGCAATTCACAGCTGACAACATGACACTGTTACAGCCTCCTCGTTCATTTCAGTGCGATCGCTGCAGCTGGCAGAAAAAAATAAAGTCATCTGCCACTTAGAATGTACAGGCATTCACACTGTGTAAGTAGAGTGCACTATAGTGTGTCTACACGTATGTGTGTTGTAATACAACAGCATACTGTGGAAGCATGAAGACAAGAAGAGAAAACTATATTGCTGCTGCAATACCTTTGTCTCAGAGGAGTTTAAACAGCTGTGAAGCATCTTGTTATCTCATCAACTTTCACCTGTATTTCCTCGCATGGATTTCACATAACACCATTATGTGTGTTAGTGCAGATTGTGTTGATGTATACAATTAGCGCAGTTGTCAATCCTAACACAGCCTTAAGAGCAATTAAATGAATCAAGAGGAGTTAAAAACCTCTTATCTATTTTAGAAAATTGCTCCTGCTTCTTAATCTCGGAGTTTTAAAAGCCAAGTGGAGTGGAGGAAAAGTGAGCTGCCACAAGCTAAAAATAGGAGTGAAGTTACTCATTAACTTAGTCAGGGAGTAATAGAGTAATTAATTTTAAGGCAGTCAGCCTGCTTCCTGCCTCTTACCAAGCAGCGGAGCTTTCCTCCAGTATCCATCTCGAACTTCAATGTAGTCATACCAGCACAGACTGCTTTTGTACAGATCCATGGTGGTGAAGTTCAGAACAATCTGGCAGAGCAAAAATATGGAAAAACAACAACAACAGCAAAAACGTGTTTAGTAAGTTTAGTACAGATCTGTTCACTGAAGATAAGGAGAGTGAGAGGACAGGAAGAGTGGCCTACCTGCAGTGTTAAGACTTAATCAATATCCAGTCACTCTGGCAGAGGTTGCTTATTTTTTATTGGCTTTGCATGCACATTCACTACACTGTAGGGTGCTACTGAGTGTGTGCGCATGCATGTGTGTATGTGCGCACCTTTTCTCCGGGTGTGACAGATATTCTCCAGACACAGTGTGTGTATGAAGGGTATCCATTGGGGTAACCAGGAGATGAGAAGTTGCCTGTTGACTCTTGGAGCGTCTCCCCACATGCTGCAATACACACACACACACACACACACACACACACACACACACACACACACACACACACACACACACACACACACACGCACACACACGCACACACACAAATGGAGTTACATTTTTGTGGCAAACCCTGCCATCGTGTGCAGTCCTTTCAGCTTTTTACTGATGGTTTACAATCGGTACATTACTAAAGAACACATGGCTCTCATATTTATTATTACTCTCAACCTTCACAAAATGTTTTAACTGCCATTTTAAGTAAATATATTTCAGGCTATTTATTCAAAACAATAGCATCAGACATGCTCTGTTTGTGAGCCATTTATGTGTATATTATCTGATGCATCCATATGGAAACTGTTAGACATTATTTCTGACGTAGAAACAAACTCGCGTTCCGTGTTGCTTTTGGCTTCTTTCAGTTTTGCATGTAGGAGGCTACATTTTTTTGTCCCTGTGTGCATCCGTGTTCATGTGAGGTCCAACCTCAGTCATGAAGCCCTTTCACCATTTAGCAGAATTAAACATTCCTCAGTAGTAAAGTCACTGACTGTAAGTGAATAGAAGTGGCAAACTTTTAATTCATCACATAGGAAAAGAACAACAGGGCTGAATGGAAAAAACAAACCCGCTGCTTTTCTCTCTTTATCCGTCATCTTGAGTTCAGTGCTGTCATTCTCTTTCAAAAGGAGGTTAGCCAAATGTGCCCCTCCAATCCCATGATGCATGCTGTTTTCCCCCCACAATGCCCTGGGGCTCTGTTCATCTGTCAGTGAATATGGTATCACTCAAATATGACCTTATAAGGCTGAAGTTGTATCTGTTTGCAGCTGAGACCCACTAACACAGACTTGCTCACTATAGACAATCAAAATTATTAATGGTATGTATGCATATAGTACTGAGCCACCCATCATTTCTTGATATTTTGCTAGGAAAATAGGAAATAGGTGTGTACTGTTTTAATGAGGTTGAATGTCAGTATTTGGTGTGACCAGTTTTTTCTTCAACACAGCCTGAACCCTCTTAGGCAGCTTTCTAGTAATTTCTTTAGGTAGTCTTCAGGAATAGTTCTCCAGCATTCTTGCAGGACATTCAAAGCTTTGGATGTTGGCTGCCTTTTGTTCTGTTCTCTGTCAGAATGATACTGCTTCAGTAATGTTGAGCTCCCGGCTCTGGGGAGGCCGATCCATGACTGAAAGTGTTCTGTTGTGGATTTTGCTTTCAGATCAACTTTGCCTCCTATGTTGATCTTTAGAGTTATATTAAGTTAGTTTGATGTCTTTTAAACTGTAATATATGTGTGTGTTCATGTGTAACAGTAAATGAGACTACATTTACATGTAGGTATGGCTCTGAATCTTGTGTAGTGTGTGCACTGATCCTTTAAATTTGTGAGAACACACTTACATCAAATGACCACCGCCATCCATTGTGGTTCTGTGTAAACTGCTGGCATACACACATGTCAGATCTCACACGTCTTAAGTAGGCCCGAGTGACAAATTTCACATTAGTTGGCTGAATTATCTGACACGTCATAGACTTGGGGATGAAACACATTTGAATTCATCAATCCATAAGAACTGTTACCACTGACTTTCATTCCAGTTCTTGTGTAATTTGGCAAACATCAGCCTTTTCTCTCCATTTTCCTTCCTTAAGAATGGCTTCCTGACAGCCATCCTTCAACTGAGAGCATTTCTGGTGAGACTGGGTAGATGGATCAACTAAAGGTCCAGCTGCAGGTCCCGTGTCAGCTCTTCGCTGGATTGTTTATATTACTATTTAGTGAATCCATGAGTTTCAGATACTTTTTTTTCCATTTTCTTTTTCTGTCCTCTACTTATTCAGTTTCCTCAAATTATTTAGGGACACACTGCAGAGCAAGTTTTCAGCTTATGTTTTTAATTAGCACGTTATTAGTGCAAAAATACTATTTTATGCCTTAAAACACAATCTGAACTCAAACTGTGTTATCATTGGCGTTTCTTCATAGATTGAAATAAAGACATGGGACATTTGCAAAGGCACATTTTTATGCTTAAATGATTAATAGATCAGTTTTAAGTGAATTAACCAACACAATTCCTCTGAAAATGGTCAGGTACACAGACTGGACTAAAAATGAGTTGTTAAAAAGCAGCTAATGTCCAATAAAATAAATCTTTGAAAGAAATTAAAAATAATTTTAAATTATTTTTTAAATAAAAAAAATATTTCTAATTTCTCCTTAAACTGGCTCCTTGGAAGCAAAATGCAAAGAAATGAAGAGCAAATCACAACTTTTCCACAGTACTGCATATGTCAGCAGTAATATAGTAACAGAATACATACATTAATAAAATAAAACTGTGGTTTTATTTAAATATGTTATTTATTGTGTCCCACACTCCGTAGATCATGAAGCACAGAGCTTATTGTGTTCAGTGTTCAGTTATTCAGCCAACTACTACCTTCATCACATACCTCCTATAGCTGAAGTTTGCCTGCATATATGGCTGGACTTTGGTGTGCTGTTGCAAATCGCACAATAACACACTGCACTTAACAGTTTAATAGATATCCAGGTGCAAGTGCAGAAATAGGATCATTAAAGGATCAGTAAATTTTACTGTGTTTCTACAATGAAACCAGAGCAGCTCTTCTGTCTGTAATGCTGACTCTTTTGCTTTAGAGATACGCATTGATTTTGCTGCTGTCAATTTGTGAGAACAGTACACGTAATCAAAATGACCAACACCATGCCAAAAGTTTGGCATGCATACTCGTCAGACCTCACATCCAGGCCCGGGTGACGATTTTGATGTTAGCTGGCCGAACTGATGATGCCTCATAGACTTGGGGATGGAACTGTGTTTGTGCGTCTGTGTGTTTTCATATGTGGTCAAAAGTAATGGCATCATTTGCAATTATAAACCTTTGTGACATCGCTGCACTTCATTGTGAGAACAGATCCAGATCACATTAGAACGACTCACCGGGGACCAGAGGAACGCCAGACAAGCACGGGCGTGCACTTGAAATGTGTGTGTGTGAGAAAAAGACACTGAAAAAATGGAGGGAAGCATCACATGAAAAAACAAAACATGTTACTCAATTTCATGTCCAGACCCTGGAGAATGGAGGGCCGGGCCGGTCTTACGCCAAAGACGTAAGCAGATAAACACAAGTAATTTTTTTAGGTACGCGCTATGACGACAGCACTCACATTCACTGACGCACACAAACATGCACAGACACACTGCAGACTGAAAGTAAAAGCATCTGTACCTGGACATCTATACAGCTTTCTTGCCTGTGCAATGTCTCCTTTACTGAGCCTGGTCCGCTGACCAATTGCAGGCCGGACCCCATTTTCATCTCTGGATGGAAGGATGGTGTCGAGGAACATCCCACTTCAGCGAAGAGAAAAGAGACAACATGTCATTGCAACACATCAGTAAAATTAAACAACAATCTAACAGTATGGACAAGCAAACAATTTTCACCCAACCATTGCAGTTTTGTGTTTTCTCTAACATGTGCATTGGAACTGACTGGGGAATGGGAGGGCTTATATAAGCGGGTATGGCGCAGATTAAAAAGCATCCTCAGTCGGAAAAAATGTAAAGTAAACCCATGACACTTTCTGCTGCCAAATCCAAACTTTTTTCACCATTTTAAATGGTGCAGATGTATAAAAAAATTGGAAAAGATTTCTTAATTCTGAAAGGCTTCCATCAGCTTCACTGCATCATGTAAACACATCTGATTTCAGATGAAGTAAATGTGCTATAGTTGTCAAAGTCCACACAAGCACAGCTCAGTAAAATATGCTTCAAATGCAAAGTAAATCATAAAATCATAAAAGTTGCAAAGCAAAAACAAACAGTATGAAATACATGACATGGTAATGAGAGGTGAAAATAGTTTGCGTTACAATAAAGTTTGCCATTTTCACTCATGCGCTTTTCTAGACGCCCCTCTGAGCTTCATTTGACATTATAAACTTGCGCAGCAATCAGACTGGACATTAAACGAGCTTTAGCCTGCCAGCTACCTAGTGTAAGCAATGTATGATGCCCAGCTGAACAGATGTAAGAATTGTGCAATCAGGTAGTTTTAAAGCTAGAGCTCTGTGTCCTGCTGCCTCCAGCAGCAGCATCTCCTGAATCAAATGGAGCATTTATGGTAGTGGGAACTACTTCCTGCTGTGTACTGCATGTGAAAAAGATCAACTTTGGACAGGGTCCCAACCTGATTCTCCTGAGGTTATGTAGCGATCATGTGAGAAAGAAGCTTTTGACATGTGGGTAGGACACCTAAAAATTGTTAATTGGCAATTATACCAACGCTGGTTCACAGTGTTTCTTGTTGTGTTACTATGTGAGTAACACAACAAGTGAGGTGTTTAATTTATGCATAGCTGATGTTTGCGCACGGAAAGACAGACTGGAGCTAACATAATAAAACCAAACAAAACAACAACAGCACAACACAGAAAAAGCCCAGACTTTACTGTTAATAACTAAATCAATTTTGGCATATCATAATCTTTGAAATTCAAACCACTGCTTACCGTGAGAAGGTGTTCCTGGCGTAGTGCATGATGCTATCAAAATCATATGGCTCCCCAAGAGAGTTCACCTCCCCTGGCTCCATCTTGAGGAAGTTATATTCCTGGCCTGGGAACCAGAAATTCCACGCACGCCGTACAAACACACACATACGCACAAATATTTGCACACATGCAGATGTAGCAGCATGAGGAGGTTTTAGTTTGATCAACAGTCAGACTGTACCTACTTAGTTTGCTTTCATAAGTGCAAAAACAAACAGCCTGCGCAACACATCTATAAAAAAAAAAAAAAAGACTAAATGTGAACAGAAAGGGTATCTTGGGGCTTTTATTCAAATACTTAAAGTCCAGCAGAGCAAAACTGGTGAAAGCTCTGATTTGCTTCTAAATAAAGCCGTGGGTCAGGTCTGAGATACTGCTGTGTGATATGATTTCACACCTGTCAGATTACACTGTGGTGCAGAGAGGTGTGTTTGAGCAGAAGTGACAGACTGTGGTGAGAGCGGTCCAGGTGACTTCACAGTCATTAAAAGGCTCCTTCACACTCACTCAGCTTCTAGACTGAGTGTGAATTTGGAAACGCACACACTCAGTCTAGAAGCGTTGCTGTTTGTCTGCGTCTAGAAACAACCTGAGTGATCCCAGCAGAGACCACAGGTGTCTAATAATAGGTCTCACCTGGTTGGATGTTATCCCGGATGATGGTCACGTGATCGTCACGGTCGGGCCGCGTGTGTTCGTGCCAGAAGCCAATGACGTGGCCCAGTTCATGCACCACAATGCCAAACTTGTCACAGTTCTTTCCTATGGAGATGGCCTGGGGCCCGTTTCCACGACGACCCACATAGGAACAACACCTAATGAGGATTAGTAGGAAGTTGATAGCAGAGAGATAGGTAATTTACTACACAGTTGGCAGTGGAAATAAGAATCTGCAGTGTTATGTTCAAGTAACAATAAACGCACACACACACACACACACAAGCGCACACACATCTTTTCAGGATTTCCTGGCCTCCACTACATCCACAAGAGGAAAAGCGGCAGGATTTAGGTACATAAAACACTCTGATAATGCTGCGGTTTCATAACCCAATGCTGTGAGAATTCACATATCGCTGTTCAGAACGCACGCATGCACATAGACACACACACACACGCTTTCCTTCTCTTTTGCTGGGTAGCAGAGACATTCGTGCCAGGCTAACAAATCTGATTAAAGTTATCCAGTGAGCTTATTGCACGGTAAGGATCAGGAGTCACTGGAGTAGATACAGTCTCACTCTCTGCTTTTTTGGGTGGGGGGGTGGAGGGGTGGAGGGAAACCGTCAGTAAATTCATACAAACACACAACAGATGTACATGTACTGTGGTTATGTGTGCATTTTTATTTTATGTTTCCTTGTTTGTCTGATTTACACACATCCACACTGCACATCCAACCTGCAGGGTACTTAGACGTCAGCTTAAAGTGCCTAATGCAGCCAACCAATCACAGAACACAAGCAAGTGACATCACCAGTTAACACATAGATATTTTCCTCACCTGCTGGTTTTTACATTTAAAAGCAACCTCATTTGGACTCATCCATGTATAACTTTTTGAGCTTCATCAGGCAACAAATATTATGGTTTGAAGTATTTTTGATGCTTGTGGCTGCACGGCTGGAGATATCAAAAATGCAATTTCTTTTTAAGCACTTTATTGGAAAATTATAAAGATGTCTTTCACGATTTCAGAAAAAGAAAACCACAAGTTAAATTCCTTCTTCACACAAAAACACTGTCCAAAAACTTCACATATAAATTACAATTGCTCTAAAATCGGAGATGTTTATTGTCTCCCGTTAACTTTTCCTTTAAATGTGCTTCAGTGCTTTTGATTCATGATGCCATGGGCACATTTTAGTCTACGAGGTTTGATACCACAGTCTGTTAACATGTTTGCAAGAAAATTTCCAAAGGTACCGAGAGTCTGCAAGCAAGCATGTGATTGTATTTAATTCTCCAGCCATAAAAAAAAGTGTTTCAAGATGTGACTTTGCCACAGTCAACAAGAGTATTATAACTAACTCAAACCAAAAGAGAAACCAAATTAAAACTACAAAAAAATATTACAAGAGACACTAAAAGAATCCTAAACTGAATTCCAAATTTATTTATTTATTTATTTAAATCAAATTTGACTCTACACATCTACAGCTTGAATGTTGAGGTAAGGTTACATTTCTCAATGCATCAAAATAATTGATCAAATAAGTGTTAAAAGTTAAAATGACTCAGCAGTCAGAAGCAAGTCTTAGAAAATGTTATGATCTTCTTTTTAAATTTGGTCAAATTTTTGGGATGTCGTGTCTGTGACCCAGCTAGGCTGTGATTGTAAAACTTGGTTCAATTTTAATAATAAAAGCCGCTATAAACTATATTAAATGTGGGTGTTGATTTACCTCACTGGGTTGGGCAGGTAACCCAAGGCTAATGCAAAGGCACTGGTTTCTTTCGTATTGCAATAAAAACTAAAAAAGCCCCAAATATGTAAATATGTTTAACTCTAACTGAACAAAGACAAAAAAATACATTAAATTGTATTTATACAGCACCAAATCACAACAACAGTCACTGCAAGGTACTTTATATTGGTAAAGACCCTGCACTAATGGAGAGAAAACCCCAACAATCAGACGACTCCCTATTAATAATACTTGGTGACAGTGGGAAGGAAAAACTCCCATTTAACAGTTAGAAACGAATAAAAGAAAAAAGAAAATGGAACTATAATAACACTGACAAGGATGCGGTGAAACTAGCAGGTACTGGATATTTGGTCTTGAATATTAAGTTTTGAATGTGTCTGTTCTGTTAACCACAATAACCAGATAATGAGCGTTAATAATAATCTATGTACACATACTGTAATAACTACACAGTCTCTTAATGTAAACTTTTGTGGTGCTAGCAGAACATTGGATAAAAAAAAATCTATATATTGTGAAAATCCTTGTTTCAAAAACATGAATTAAAATTTTTGTTACTCCAAGTCAAAAGCTCCAATTTTGCATCTATAAAACACTTTGTCATATAAGCAAAAGCTGGAACGAGTGAGGATTCTGCATTTTGACATTGTTAATACTTGTTAAATAAGAATTGTTTCTAGGTCATTTTTACACCAACTCTGTAAAGTCACAGTTGGAGCTGGATATCCTACTCTTTCAACCATGTGCACAACACTGTCTCAGAGCGATAAATGCCCTGATCTCAGGCACCCTACAACCTCCCATCCAGTCAGTTGAAGTGTCACCACTGTACAAACACACTCTGACCCACCGTGCTGCCACTCGACAGAACAATGCCCTTCTCCAGAATATGAACAAAAAAACTGCACGAACATACAAACACTTAAGCCAAGCGCCGTGATTGGTGGGATGGGGAAACAGGAGCAGGACAGGAAGGAAAGTAGAGCTATTGTTGAGTGACCACATCGTCTCTCTGTGTGACAAGGTCACTTGTGAACTCTAGGTACACACACAATCACAAACAGACACACATTTCCAAACCAACCCGCATGGTCTGTAGGTGAAGACTATGTAGCTTTCTTCATCTGTCTTCTCAATGAAAGTCACGCATGTCTGTTTCTCCCAGTGGCGCATGGCCTGCTTGAACATGGCCCTCTGACTGCCTGAAACACACAAATTTTACATCCTCCTTTTACACAATCACTCATGAGTGTGTGATTTACTGCTGATCGGGCAGCCGTCCAGCGGAGTTGCTTACCAGTGAAGTTTCCTCCTATGACGTAGGGAATGACTCCTCCAGGCCATATCCTCTCAGCTCGGGAAGTGGCTGCTCGAGGAATACGAGTTTTCACAAACTTTCCATTCTTCCCAGCTTTCCCACTTTGGCTCTTTGGACTGGCAGCTCCCTTGCTGTCATTTTTGGGGAGATAATCTAACAGAATGGTGAGAGGAAAAGTCACAGTTAATTAAGTGTTGTGTTCAAACCTAATAAATGTTATAAATATGAGGTCATAAATGTGCTTCCACAGTATTGGATAATGATGCTTCTTGTTATATTTGACCTTTCACAGTTTGTTTTAAGGGCCCACAGTAATAAAACTCAAACAGACATAATGTAGTTATGCTAATGCAATGCAGCTTTTTACATTTACATTGAGTCAAGTTCTAAAAATAAAAGTATAGCAAACTTTCAGTGGTGCCAGATATCAGTGTGTAGACCAGAGGTTGTGTTGCAGCTTTGTCAGGTCTATCAACACTTGGAAGAACTGAAAACAAGTAAACTTGTAATGGATTCAGTCTCTAGATCTGCTTCTGGTGTCTCTATTTCCTCATTGTGAAGTACTTCATTTGCCTAAACAGCAAAACAGGCTTTTAAGGGTTTGATGAAATTTCAATTTAAAATCATCCCAGAAAGATGAGCAAGTTGTCTGAGGATTCTTGGAAGGAAAAGGCACTTTTCTAACAAGCTACCATGGTTGTTACTTTCTACGATGTGATTATTTGGTGCTTCTTCTAGAAAAATCAGCTTGTCACTGATTTGTGGTATGACTTTGGTTTTCATGAGTGGGCCCTCATAAAAGTTTATGGTGTAGTTACAGCCATGTGAAAAAGAGAGCTTTCACAGCAATCTGTGAAACATGACATATTTCACTGTGTCACAAAGCAAAACTAAACTGCAGAAGCAGAGGGTGAAAAACGTAGTACAGCCTTACTGCTTCTATTGGAATTAAGGGTTGAAATAGCAGCCAGGTGCTGCTAATTAAATGCACTTAAGTAACTGATCATGAGCAAGTGTGAGCACCTCCATAAAACCAGAACTTTCGGCAGTCTGGAGCATTCAGCTGTGTACTAACGAAGTGCCACAACCTGGATGACCCCACAACGCTTGGACTGCAAAAAACCCAAGAGCTACATCTGAGACTCTACAGGCCCCAAAGTGTTAAACGTTAAAGTTCATGACAGTTACACTTAGAAAGAGAACAAGTATGGCTTGTTTAGAAGGCTCTCCAGGAGAAACCCCAAAACTTATAGAACAATGTCTTTTGCACAGATGAAATTAAAAATGAAGATGGTTACCCATAATGCACAGCACCACATTTGGAGAAAACCAAATACAGCATATCACCAAAAAACACCTCACAGCAGCTGTCACCACTGTGATGGAGCAGTGATGATTTGGGCTTGTTTTGCAAGTAGTAGACCACGAACTCCAGTATACAAAAGTATTCTAGAGTCAAATGTGAGGCCATCTGTTTGACAGCTAAAGCTCGACCCAAATTAGGTCATGCAATAGGATAATGATCTCATGCACCACATGAAATCTACAAAAGAATGACTGAAAAAGAAAAGAATCAAGGCGTTGTAATGATGCTGTCAAAGTCCAGACCTCAACCCGATTGAAATGCTATGGCGGGACCTTAAGAGAGCTTGCATAAGCAAAATGCCCACGAACCTCAAAGAAGTGAAAGAGACGTTGATATGAAGAGTGGGCCAAAATTCCTCCCCAACAATGCGAAGGACTGATAAAGTCATACAGATAATGATTACTCCAAATTATTGCTGCTAACGGTGGTTCTCCTAGCTAAGGAATCATGGGGTGTGCTTAGTTGTTTGCAGGACTGTATAATGTCCTGTGAAAATTATTTCACATGACACAGCATATCACCACGATTCCTATTGAATTGAAAGAAAAAAAGTTTATCTCACTGGGACTGTAGCCTAATTTATGTATCTTAAATGCTTTGCTGTGTCTTTATTGTTTTTTTCTTGGTTGCAGTTGCAAGGGGAAAAGAAATTTTGCTTGCAAAGAAAACCAACAGGCTGTCTAGGTCATTCAGTTCCATAAACATTAATGACTAACAAAGTAAGTTAAATAAAGTCCCTAAGCTCCACCATGCAGAGTCAGCAGGTTTCATGAAGTTTGAAAAACAGCATGGGATGAATTTTAGTTTGCTTACCAAAACCAAACCTACGTATTCTTTCTAGCAGAAGGTATAAAGACCCTCTCTTCTTCAGAGTTTCATGTTCCTCGATTCCACCTGGCAAACAAAAAAAAAAGAAAAGAAAAATTAGACAATGACAGATCCTGTTGTCCTCAGGTGACCTCCTGTTTACTTCCTTCCTTTTCAAGCTACTCTACTCTGCAACTGATGGGTAATGACAGAGTTTCAAAGAAAACACAAGACAGTCACAGTTAGAGTGAGTCCACTTACCAGACGTGTGCCCCTGTCGAGAGTGTGTGTGCATGTGTGTGTGTTGTGTCAGGTCTATCGTCCTGTCAATCTGGAACATGCGCAGGTCTTCCTCATCTAATGCGATGTCACCCCAAAATACAGCTGGAAGTAAGAGAACATTTTCCAGTTATTATCAAATCCTAATACTGTTATAAAAACTCCTTAAAAACTCCTTTGTCCCACACGCCATCAGACTGTTTAACTCCTCACTGGAGGGGAGAGGGAGGAGAAACAGGGGGACAAGGGAGGGCGGGAACAACTGAGTTGTAGGGGCTTTTCTACATGGTGCAATATTTGCAATATTTGTTTTTTGTTTTTTGTCTCTTTCTTATATTTGACTGTGCAATAATCACTGTGCAATATACTCACTCAAATGAGCAATCCTATTTATCCATATTGTATATTCTGTATCTATATATGTGTATATATGGTGTATTTATGCTTATATCCTTACTCTCATTCCCCTTAATGTATCTGTAACATGCAACTTCTTTCGGTGCTTTGCTACTGGAAACTGAATTTCCCGGAGGAACCCACCCGAGGGATTAATAAAGTTTCATCTAATCATCTAATCAAAAAGTGAAAATGCTTGCATTTCTGTTGACCATCTTAGTGCATGCTTGTAAAGTTCAAACACAAAGACCCAAAGCTAAACCATGACCAGAATCACAATGTGCTGAAGTGTAACAAATGTGTTTTTCAGTTTGAGACCAACAGGAGCCAAAGAGTGTGATGTTGTACCGGCTAATTTAACAGCACAGCAATCTAACTAAGAACAAAACAATGTTTCTGAAGTTTGTGAACTTCAGTTTTGATGGCTCAACTTGAGAGACGGTGACCACGTCGCAAGTGAGAGACTGAGGGACACTGCACACATAGACAGCAGTAACTTAGGGTAGCTCAGGTAGCTCAGGTGGCAGAGCAGGTCAGCCACTAATTTGAAGGTCGGTGGTTCGATCCCAGGCCGCCTCCTGGCAGCATGCCAAATATCCTTGGGCAAGATACTAACCCCATGTTTGCCTACTGGTGGTGGTCAGAGGGCCCGGTGGCGCCAGTGTCCGGCAGCCTCTGTCAGTGCGCCCCAGGGCAGCTGTGGCTACAATGTAGCTTGCCATCGCCAGTGTGTGAATGTGTGTCTGAATGACTGTGAAGCGCTTTGGGGTCATTAGGGACTAGAAAAGCGCCATACAAATGCAGGCCATTTACCAACTTACCAATCACAGGTTTGCCCCTTCCCAGAGTCTACACTGCTGTAATTCAGTTTACTTCAGTCATATCTATATAGCAACAAACCATAACCCTAGTTGCATTAAAGTGGTTTATACTGGCAGGTAAGGGCAATATTGGTGAGAGGAAACCAGCAATCAGATGATCCTTTATGAGCAGCACTGAGCAACAGTGGGGAGGAAGAACTCCCTTTTAACAGTAAGGAACCTCCAGGAGAACCAAGATGAAGTACAACCAGGTCAACGTGAGACTATCACAATCATGATTTATGAATTCATTTTGTATTTTAAAAATATGCTAAACTTGTAACTGAGCCCATAAACTCACAAGAAAAAATGTTTCTACAGGTAATAAATGTGGTGAGCAGTGAGATAATTTTCTCAGAGACTGGTTCATATGTATGAGGTGTTTTTCCAGAAGCACTGTAGTTTATAAATTCTTGAACCTTAATTTGTACATGTTATATAATATATAATGTCTTTGTAATGTGCAGCCATATATGATAAATGCCACTACTCAAAGTAGTGGCATTTATCATATATGGCTGCACAAAAAAACCCTAAAAAAACAATGAATAATGAAAAATAAAAGTTAATTACAAGTTAAACAGAATATTGTGTTTCAAACACCACATGTACAACAGTTTGTGAGAGTGGAAATGGAAATCTTTGTTTCGTTCTACTTTTATTTAACACATGGGAACAGAAAGAACTTAAATGTACCTGTAGTCCTATTGTAAACTAACATTTCAAGGTTGTTACAGCAGGGATTTATTTGTTCTGAAGTCTGATTCATGTTCAAAGTATTTAACCTATTACAACCTCCAGTTCAGTGGTCGTGGTTTCTCGGATTAGGGAAATACAAATATCCTTTTGTTACAGTCTGGGCAGCTGCTAAGGTAGATGTCACACATACCAGGAAATTACTCAGTGACATCTATTACTTTTGAGGTGATGACTTAATTTAACCTTCTGGCAGTCAACTGTCTAACTTCCTCCACAGCTATACAATCAATTGCCAGATCCTCTGCTCTAATATACAGAAATCTGTATCTGATATAAACTCAGAGATCAAAGCAGCTGTGTATTGCTACACAGACACACACACACACACACACACACACACACACACACACACACACACACACACACACACACACACACAGAGCTATCTTCAGTGTTGGGTGTAAACATGTTAATCGTGTCTAATCGTGTCACATTACATTTTTCGGTAACACAATAATGTAACCCATTGCTGCACTAAATTCAGTAATCACATTACAGTTACAATTACATAATCACTTTCATTACAAAGGTTCTTCAGTTGCATGCCGGGCAAATGGAAAGAAAATCATATGAAAGGTGTCTTTTTCTTGCAAATACAACATCAGCTCTCCACAAGCAGCTGCACAGACAGCACGTTAACACAAACTAGTCAAGAATCAAGAATGGCCTTAAAGTTGAGTGCATGCTGACCCCAGCCAAGCAGCCAGAGCCTGAATTTGAACAGGTAACAAAGACAATGAAGGGCAGTCAGGCTTAAAGCCTCCTTTACACCTGTACATGTTTCTACAGTATAATCACTGTGGCAATTACTTTGAAGTCTCTTTGCTCTGGTTTCAAACTTCGCTTCATGTTCAAATTTAAACACTGTAAAAAAAAAGTGTGTGTCCTCATTGAGAGATTGGTGTGTTAGCATGTGGGGCTATGGTTTATATGCATTTCAGGTCGTCTTATGAAGTAATGTATAAGTAATGTAACAAGTAGTGTAATGAATTACTTTCTCCAGGGAGTAATTAAGTAACCTCAACACTGGTAACAGTGGCTGTTACAGTGGCCTGAAATCAGGACACTCACTGCTCTGCTGTTTACTCTCTCTACTCCTGCCCTTGCATCCTCTCTTTTTCCTGGACAAATGAGATATAATCTATCAAACCTGTTCTGGGGCTACCTCGTGATCTTCTACCAGTTACTTTTAATGAAAGTGGAAACATCCGATTGGATGCTCAGACCACTTCAGTGGGTTCCCCTAAAAGCAAAATAGGAGTGTCTCCAGTCTTTGCTTCCTTAGGAGCTTCAAGCTTCAAGCGCTCCATTTTGGTGTTTACATTTCAACAAAAGACAACCACAACATATTAGCCAAGAAAGCACAAGGAAAACTCCTAAATCTCTAAAAGCTCCATGAATAAAATGCAGGATTTCTGAAAAAAGGACCTGAATGTGGCTGTGCACCTTCACTCCCCATTCATTCTCCTTTCAACCATCCTGCTGAGAAGAACAGATTGATGTTGATGATGCTGACATTAAAAAGCAGTCCAAAAACCTGTTTTTGCTTCATTTTTTGATATATTAATGAGATTAATGAGAAAACATGAAGTGTAATCATTTCAGGGTGACCCTGAAAACAGATAAAAATGTGCATGCTTAAAAAAATCATCATTTATCTATGTTTGTACATGAAAAGGACAAATCAAAAACTTAAACAGAACTTTTGGTCCAACATCACTGTCAAGGAGCACGCTGCTTCGATTTTTCAAATGTCAGGTCTACAGGCGAGCTGCAGTGATACCTTGATACCTTTGAGAAGCTACACGGTGGCAAAAACAGCTGCACTGCACGTACTGTAATAGACCTTCCCTCCTCAGTCTCTTCATCACCTCAGTCCAACACACACACATACACATAGACACACACGTAAACACAATTACCCCGCTAGCTTGTAACAATGGACAACTGAACGATAGTCATCTCTGAGTGATTAGCTGAGCTGAGTTATTGGCCTCCACAGGGATTCAAGACACTAATACACTAACAATGGCACGGGAGAAGATTGTCATTTAGCTAATCGGGATTGCCGCTAAAGGAAAAGGGGTCAGGGTGCCATTGTGCTCAACTCGGCACTATTGTTACAGAGAAGAGCAAACCACGGCGTCCATAGATTTATGAATAACAACATCAGATGCAGTCTGGGAGTGTGTTTGGCTCAGTGGTGTTTTATATTTTGCTTAGATTGGAAGGATAGCAATCTAAATTAGAGCTGGATGTGAAGCAATGTGTTTATTTTTATATATTATGTAAAAAATCACCTTTAAAACCAGAAAGAGCCAGCATTTGATCAGGCTGCCTTAGTATAAACTGTGGAGGTAGCTTGAAACAGTAAAAGAAGTAGATGTGCGAAGATATGCATTTATTAAACATCATGGTAATCCCTGCTTTTATTACATAATTTACCAAATGCACATTGTACAATCGAGAGAGAGCAACGATCACCGCAAATGACCAGCAGCTGGCTTTGTTCGCACAATAGTCCAAAGTAGTCTACAGCAACAAAACGCATCAGAATTTAACTTCTGAAAGTCTGAAAAATTAATTATTTTCAGTCTTTCTTTAATTAATCTTTCATGATTCACTAAGTCTGACTCTAACTTTGAGCTACAGGTGGTGGTTGCTACTGGGTTCATGCTGAGCTCCACAGAGATGACCAACCAGTTTTTGGTATTTTAATGAGGGTAGTACGTCACACAGCTTGTGCACAGTTCAGCTTGGAAAGAGATTTGTTTAGGAAAATCCATTCTTCATTTGTCATGAATGGTACTAATCAAACTTCTCGCTGTCATTTTTCGAGTATTTGCAGCTCTGTTATTTATGCAAGAGTGAATGCAAAACAGACTCTGCTATCCCTTTAAATATATTTTTTCCCTGGGCATTTTATAACGAGAGTCTGGATTGGATTAATCCCTGGTTGAAAGGAAAACCATTTAAAAACATATATAAAAAGAGGTTTAATACTATGTGAAAAGGCTGATCTGGGTGCGACTTTGACACATAAAGTCGCAAAAACAGCACAATTACACCACCACGTTTTTAAAGATGTGG